GCTGTTACCTTCCCACCAAAGGTGGTCCCTATTTTTCTACTTGCATTTTTTACGTGCTTTCGAACTGCTAGGTTGGCAGAAGCTGGGACAAGTCACGGGAGCTCACCCCTAGGGATTCGAACCGCTGAACTGCCAACCTTTCAGTTGACAAGCTCAGTGTCTTAGCTACTGAGCCACCGTGTTCCCTGTGTAGATATATACATATGTATTTATAGCGTGTCTATACTGTTATGTTTGTGTACCCTTTTGAGAGCAGGCAACAGAATTTCATTTTTTAAATGTATGCCAGTGTGCCCGTAGTTAAAAAAAAAAAAGGTTATCTTAATCTTAACTATAACAATGCTATAAAACCATAAATCAATGAAAAATGTTATATGGAAATGGCCAACTTGTGTTTGTGCTTTTCGTTTTGGAATTTCAGTGGCTCATACTCCTAGGATTGAATTTTTTTAATCTTGAGACATTGTCAAGTTTTTATTTTATCATCAGAAAACTCATTCGAACACAATATGACCACCTGCTTATGAAGCTTAGTATCTGCTATTTTCCACTTCCAGCCATTGATAGGATTGTGGTGTGCATGTAAAGATAAAACCTTGTTATGCATCCTTCAGAGACCTGGCAGCTAATAATAAATATTAAATTTGACAGAGATCAAAGGAAGAATTTGGGGAGGGAGGGGGGCAATGATTGCATTAATCTTTTCTGCTGTTTTCCTGATTGAGATGGCATAGTGTTGTGGTCCGCCAGCAGCCTGCGGAGCTGGCAACAGAGTCCGACAGTGAGGAGGCTGCGGAGGAACATGGGCCAGTCCTGGAGTCTGGGGAAGGCTCGGATGAGGGCTGTGTGTCGGAGGCAGAGATGGGGCCAGGGCCATCTGGGAGTTATGTGCGGACTCTGGAGCCTCCAGAGTTGGACATCAGAGAGGTAGAGGAACAGGGGGAGCCTGTTCCCAGTGCGTGCATGCGCAGAGCTGCCAGAAGGCAAGGACAGTTAAAACAAAAGGGATGACTCAGGAGTAAGGCTTGGAGATGATTGGCCCCTCCCATAAGACATAAAGGAAGAGCAGTGTTGTAGATGCTGTCAGTTTGTACATTGAAGCTCCATTTTTTACTGTGTTTCCGTGTGGCCTTGCCAAGATAATTGCCAATTAGGTCTTTGACAGCGTGTCAAAGAAGATAAAGGCAAGTGTTTACCAGCCTTATCCAAAGGACTGTGGCAGACTTCTGTTGGACTATTTATAAACTCTTGGTGATTCAGCACATGCTATGAATGAAAAGATGAAATGAAAATGGGTTTTGAGGACTAATTGTGAGCTTTTTAGTATATCAGGAAGCCTAGGTCAGAACACATAGCAACTTTTGTATAAAATATCACAGAGGGAGCTGAGTGGATGCCACTGGGATAAATTATTGTCCAATAATGATAAATGAGCTATGTGGACATAGCCTGAAATTAAAAGTGTGGCTGAATGAAATGGTGCAGCCAGTTAATCCAAATAAACAAAGTTGACGACTTGGGAGTGCGTAGAGCCTACACTAAAAACATAAAAGTTTCATCCCATTGTGGGAAGAAGCAGGGGTGGGCTTCAGATCAGGGGTGGGTTCTAAATTTTTTTACTACCGGTTCTGTGGGCGTGGCTTATTTTGTGGGTGTGGCTTGGAGGTCATCTGACTAGGTGGGCGTGGCTAGCTGGTCAGAGTCATTTCTGGAAGGTCCTCGCTCTTACGACCAGTCCTCGCACTTACGACCCGACTCATTTGTTTGCTTTTAACACTGATCAGCTGTAGGACGGCCCTTTGAAGCCCTGCGGCAAGAGTTTAAACAGTTTTTTTCCCTCTAGTCATCAGCTGGGACTCAGGAGGCAGCAATAGATTGGGGGTGGGACCAAATAAAAGGTAAGAATAACGTGGGAGGGCGGGGGGGGAGAACCAGTTCGGTGACGTCATATCGTCACCGCTACCAGCTCAGCCGAACCGGACCGAACCGGGAGGAACCCACCACTGCTTCAGATCCTTTAGCAATGGGTTCACTGGCCGTTGCTGGGTGGACATGGCCATGGTGGGCGTGGCCTAATCGGCTGCCTGCACCACAGTTGTGGGAGGGGTTTCGCCCTTCCCAGGTCCAGAGGCTTTCCTCAAGCCTCCGGCAGGGCGAATACTGCTTCCTCCGGGGTCCAGAGGCCCTCCGGAGGCCAGAAACAGGCCTGTTTCTGGACTTCCGGAACTTCCAGTAGGTCCATTTTTTTGCCCTCCCAGGCCCCCCGCACGGCCCCTGCACTTACCTGGAATGATGAACGGGCTGCATGGCTCAGCACAGCTCAGCACAGACTGAGGGAAGGATGATAGGCAGGAAAATTCCCCTCCCTCATTTTCCCGCCATTTGCAAAAAAAAAAAAGGCTCCATTCCGAAACTTCAGTGCATGCAAGGACCCTGCAAGGATTGCTGTGCCGTTGTGTGTGCATGCGGTGGCACCGCCACAAGTTTGGACACACTGGCGCAGCCGCTCACGGCAGGATGCCAGCTGCACCGGTGTGATGAAGTTCACGGAGGTGCTGCCGTTTGTGAAGGCAACGCCACAACAAGCCTTGCAGGGTACTGCTCCAAGAGGCTGTGCCGCTATGACAAACCTCAAGGCGGTGCCGTCACTCTTACACACAGCTCGCTCGAGTTGCAAACAGCCCGGGGATTTTTGCGGCCTTTATGTGCCTGGGATGCCTGCAGGATCCCTGGCTTCTGAGTCTGGCAAGCAGTGGTGGGTTTCTCCCGATTCGGCCTGGTTCTCCCGAGCCGGTAGTGGTGACAATATGACATCACCGAACCGGTTCTGCCCCCCGTGCCCCCCCGCGCCCCCCCCCACATTATTCTTACCTTTTATTTGGTCCCACCTCCAATCTATTGCTGCCTCCTGAGTCCCAGCTGACGGCTAGAGAGAAAAAAAACTGTTTAAACTCCTGCCATCGGGCTTCAAAGGGCCGCCCTACAGCTGAACAGTGTTAAAAGAAAACAAATGAGTAGACCAGTGCCTGCAAAAATACATGGGTAGACCAGTGCCTGAAAAAATACATGGGTAGACCAGTGCCTGAAAAAATACATGGGTAGACCAGTGCCTGAAAAAATACATGGGTAGATCGGTACAGCTCTGCAAGCAGTTAAAAGCCTGGTAGACCAGTACCTCTGCTAAATCCTAAATAATTGTCACATGACCATCAAGCCACACCCACAAAATAAGCCACGCCCACAGAACCGGTAGTAAAAAAAATTAGAACCCACCCCTGCCGTCGAGGCCCAGCATTTGGGCTCTGGTGCGTTCTTCTCCTCCCAGGCAGCAATGGTGCATCCACGGCATGTCCATCTCACCAAGTCTGGCCTGCTGCACCTCAAAAAAAGTAAAACCTCCTCGAAAATAAGCCCAAGGGCTTATTTTCAATTCTAAAAGAAAATAAGACTCGGTCTTATTTTCTGAGAAACACGGTATATTATTATATCTGCGAAACGGTGGGCACAGTGTCACAATCAAAGCCTTCCCCTTTGTGGAGGAAATAGTTTTTTGAATTCTGTTGTTTTAGAGGGTGCTTCCAATCTGACTGTAGGAAGTTAGCACCCACCCCTTTCCTAGAAGAATGAAATATTTTAGGAAATATTAAAAAGGCAGAATATTATGTTTCCCTGGATGAGAAATGGAGAAGCATGTTTTAAAGATGAAGCAGCTCCCATCTTCCTGCCCCCACCCTTTTGTTAATGGTTCAGAGGCAGAAACCCAATCCTTTGTCAAAGGACCATCATCTGCAACACAATAGGACCCATCTAGCAACAGAAACTCACCACATGGCACCCGGGAAGATTACATCAGCCAGCAAGGCTAGCTAAGACCCCCACCCCCTGGGAGTCTGACAACCAATCAGGATACTCTTTCTGGCCCCCAGGAAGTTCAAATTCAGAGAGGACTCACTATGTCTCGCCCCTTTTCTGTTCAGGAACTCAAACCATGTGATCCTGTCCACCATTAAACCATCTTTCAAAGCAGTCTCCATGTTTCCAGTGTCTTTTTCCCCACTTGGAGCTGAACCCAGAAGGATATTTCTTCTAACATGACTTTGTTATTCATTCTTTTTTATTCTCTCTTTTTGGGGGGGGCAGGCAAGGGGGGTATTTCTTGTTCCTTACATTTCTATCGAGGGCTTAAAAAGTTTGTTGCTTTTTTTGATACAGGAAAAACCTAAACTGCTTGTGTGTGTGTGTGTGTGTGCGCGCGCGCGCTCAAGTGTGGGTATGCGTGTAATTCATAATTCATAATGGTGCTTATTCATCCAGTTCCATCCGGTTCGGGCAAATCAGTAGCGGCAGCTGCAAGAGCAGTGGTGGGTTCCTCCTGGTTCGGTCCGGTTCGGCCGAGTCAGTAGCGGTGACGATATGATGTCACCAAACTGGTTCTCCCCCCCGCCCTCCCCCCCACCCCCCCTCCACGTTATTCTTACCTTTTATTTGGTCCCACCCCCAGTCTATTGCTGCCTCCTGAGTCCCAGCTGATGACTAGAGGGAAAAAAACTGTTTAAACTCTTGCCACAGGGCTTCAAAGGGCCGTCCTACAGCTGATCAGTGTTAAAAGCAAACAAATGAGTCGGGTCGTAAGTGCGAGGACTGGTCGTAAGTGCGAGGACCTTCCAGAAATGACTCTGACCAGCTAGCCACGCCCACCTAGTCACATGACCTCCAAGCCACACCCACAAAATAAGCCACGCCCACAGAACCGGTAGTAAAAAAACTTAGAACCCACCTCTGTGCAAGAGGCTCCGCCCACCCGCCTGGACATCATCACGTCCCTTTTTTGATGCTCTGTGCATGCGCGCGCTCCCATTTGCAAACCAGTAGCGAAGGTAAATGAATACCACCCCTGGTGTAAAGAGAGACACAACGCCATTAATAAATGCTTGAGAAAGAATATCGGAAAAGTTTTGCATGTTTTAAATCAAAGGACATTTTTTTTTCCCCCACCGCAGGATGGGGAACAAACTCAGTGAAGGAAAAAGAAGAAATCTCCTCTCTGAGCAATTTCCCTTCACGACCGTTTTTGGGATCTGATTGCCGAATTGACTCCAAAGATTCCCCGGAGGCAGCATTTATGAGAAGCTGGGGACATTCCAGGGGTATAATAAAATGACAGCTGAGGACTATCTGAGCACAACAGTTTGAGAAGAGCATAAACGTTTTCCCCGACTGAGGTTCAGTGCTCCTTTGATTGCACATGTTTCCTTTTATGAGAACATCTGGTCGGTCTTTGTAAGCAGCATAAGTGTCAATAATGTTGTTTTTCTCCTACGGATTTCTCCCCCTTTCCCTTTTCCTCTCTGGTGGTTAAGACTATGGGCTAGAAAAAGGAGACTGTGAGTTCTAGTTCCGCTTCAGCCATGAAATCCAGCTGTGTGACTTTGGGCTAGTCATCAGGATACGGTGAGTTCTAATCCTGCCTTTAGGCATGAAAACTAGCTTGGTGAGTTTGGGCCAATCACCAGGAGACTGTGGTTCTAGTTCTGCTTCAGCCATGAAAGCCAGCTGGGTGACTTGGGCCAATGACTCCCTCTCAGTTTTTTTGTAAGCGCCAAATTTCCAAAATTAGATTCAGGTCATGACCAAATTGGGTTGCGACCAAAGTTATGGAACAAATATGGTCATTACCAGAGGTTCTACCATACCATCAGGGTGGGTTCCACTTACCTTTACTACCGGTTCACAACGGGAGTGCATGCACAGATCATCAGTGATGACGTCGGGGCGGGTGGTCGAACCTCCTACCTGCTGCCATTACTAATGGTTCGCAAGAACCGGACCGAACCGGGAGCAACCCACCACTGATGGTCATCCAAGGACAAACCCACGTCCCACACACAGAGCATCGCTGGTGAGATATAAATTGCTTGTATTTATTAATTGTTATGTTCAGCAGTAACTCAATACTGTCTATCTTGTATTTGGTTCTCATTGTATGTATCCCTATTTTCCCCAGTTTCATCATATCCTGTTCTTTCAATAAAGCATCCAGATCTACATACATGGACTGTTTAGGTGGGTTTAGCTGCATGTCGAGCTGCACACAGACTAACATGTAGTGAGGACAGAAACACCAGCCCAGGATTGTAACCTGGGGAAAACATCTCAGCAAAGATCCTCTCTAGTTCTCATGCAACTAAAGGAGTGGGAGAAGAAGTGCATTTAGATTTGTAAGATTTTGTTACTATATTTTTATAATAAAAGTACAGGTAGTCCTTGACTTATGACTAGTCGCTTAGTGACCATTCAAAGTTACAATGGACCAATGCAGTATGGACTACTAGAACAAAACCTGTTGGTATAGTAGGGTTGTACAATGCTTCAGGTTTGATTTCCCAGAAGGCTTCAGAGCATATGGAAACATGGCTATATTAGTGTCAGCAGCACCTTAAAACAGCTATGCAATCTCAGGAAAAGATGCAGCTGCTTTAAACTGGTTGCAGGCATGGAGATAACTTCATGCCCCCCTCTGAATTCAAGAAAGGACCCAGCTGCTTTAAAGGATTGTAGGCATGGTGACCTCTTTCTGCTTTTGTTGTGACTCCGACCCCCGAGCCCGTCTTATCGGAGGGAGAAGGCTCCGAAAGTGAAGGAGAGGAGTTGGCCACGCCTCCCTCTCCAGGACCCTCCTCTCTGGCAATGCCTCAGGTGTCTCCCGAAGGAGAAGAGATTGGCCAGGAGCCAGGTATCGCCGAGCAGTCGCAGTCGGACAGTGACGAAGATAAGTCTTGGCTGGATCCACGCCAGTGTCGGAGAGACAAGCGCATGCAAGCAGAAAAGGAGGCGTGCCAGAGATTAAGCTGAGTCACTGGACCACACCCCACAGGGGATAAAAGGGGGTATGGTGGCCATTCAGGCTCTGTGACGGACAAAACTAAACAATTAGTGAGTCGCATTGTATCTCTGAAACTACATTATCTGCCTGCCTTGGATTTAATACGGACTGGACTTGACAATTCTGTGGCTTTGTGTATTTGTTTTGATTCTCTGTGAGTAAAGTTCTTGGCAAGCAGCTACTGGGTTGCTGCCAATCCTGTTATCGAAGGAATTTATTGTCTGCAAGTTTTATTTAACTCCTGGCTGACTGTTTGTGTGCGTGTGTGAGACGGGGACAGAACAGCTTTTACCTCAATCCGCGAAAAGACACAGTTGCTTTAAAGAGTTGCAGGCCACGGTGACGACTTCTTGTTCCCACCCAAACCCAGAAAAAGATGCAGCTGTCTTAAAGAGCTGCCGACAGATTCTGCTTTCATACTCCTATCTGAATACAAGAAATGAGACAGCTGTGCTTCAAAGTTTCTTTTGAAGATAATCTGAAGCACTGGGTGGCTCCAGAATACAACAGTCCTGTACGTTTTGTCGAAAACATAATAATAAAATTCAGAAAATGTATCCAAATTTCATGGCTTGAACAGGGATTTTTCTTTTTTCAATTATAACTTGTTGAAAAAACAACTTAGCCAATTTGAGTTCTTTTAGCACATACGAGGCAGTGACTCATAGACTACCACACTGAACGAAAGAGAATAATATATAAGGTGATGCAGTAGTAAACACTTTTGTTAACCGTTGCCGACACCTTTGTTACTGATCCGATAAGTCTTCTCATCAGTTTTGAAAAGTAATTTATCCTGGGGGGGAAATGACAGAATAACTGAGTTGGAAGGGATCTTGGAGGCCTTCTAACCTAACTCCTTGCTCAAGCAGGAGATCCTATACCCGTGATGGCAAACCTATGGCACGCATGCCACAGGTGGCACGTGGAGCCATTACTGTGGGCATGCCAGCATTGCCCTAGCTCAGCTCCAGCGTGCATGCATGCGCCAGCCAGCTTATTTTCGGGCCTTCCGGGCCCGCCGGAAGTCAGGAAATGAACCGTTTCCAGCTTCCGGAGGGCTTCCGGGGGAGGGGAAGGCTGTTTTCACCCTCCCCAGGCTCCTAGAAAGGCTCTGGAGCCTGGGGAGGGCAAAAAACGGGCCTACCGTGCCATTGCATGCCAAAAGCGGGGATCGCACGAGGGGGTCGCACGTGCATGCATGGGGGGCAGGGCACATTGAATTATGGGTGTGGGCATGTGATCCCCCCACGATCCCCACACTTTTGGCATGCAACGGCAAAAAGGTTAGCCATCACTGTCCTATATCATTCTGGACAATTGGCTGTCCAGTCACTTCTCAGAAACCTCCATTGATGGGGCATCCATAAATTCTGGAGGCAAGTTGTTCCACTGATTAATTGTTCTCATTGTCAGGAAATTTCTCCTTAATTTTAGGTTGCTTCTCTCCTTGATTAGTTTCCATCCATTGCTTCTTGTCCTAGCTCAGGGGTATCAAACACAAGGCCTGTGGGCCGGATTTGGCCCATGATGTGGTCCAAATCCAGCCCGTGGGGCCATCCTGGAAAATGTAACGGGCTGGCCCGTATCGCTTCGGCCCGGTCTACCCAATGCGAAGCGGAAACATTGGGCCAGCGTGGCTTCGGGCCAGTCTACCCAATGCAAAGAGGAAACATGCCAGCAGTTTGGGGAGTGGCATCAAGCTGGCCGTGCCCACCCAGTCAGCTATGCCCAGTAAGTGGCTCAAGCTGGTCACGCCCACCCAGTGAGCCACGCCTGCCCAGCCCACTAAGGTTAATCAACCACGGCCCTGATGCGGCCCTCAATGAAATTGAGTTTGACATCCTGTCCTACCTTGTCTCTATTGTCTCTATCTACCTATCTTTATCTCTCTATCTTTCCCTTTATCTCTGTCTTTCTCTTTACCACTACCTCTCTCTCTATCTTTCCCTCTCTCTCTATCTTTCAACCTCTCTCTATCTCTCTCTTGTCTATCCCTCTATGTACAGTATCTGTCTATCTGTCTGTCTGTCTGTCTGTCTGTCTGTCTACCTCTGGAACGAGTTGCCCCCAAAGATACGGTGGATCCCTGACCTTCGTGCTTTCCGAATTGCCCTAAAGACGTTTTTGTTTCATCAAGCCGGGTTGGCCTGACCTACTTTTTTTAAAAAGAATTGTTTTAAAAAAATTAGGGGTTTTAATATAGGGTTTTTTAACTATGGGCCAAATTGATTTAATTGGATTTTAATATTGTTTTAAATTGTGTATCTGTGTATTTTATTTGCTGGCTGTTCACTGCCCCAAGTCCCTCGGCAGAGGGGGCAGTATATAAATATAATAAACTAACTAACTAACTAACTAACCCAGTGTTTCCCAAACTTGACCCTTTGAAGATGTATGGACTTCAACTCCCAGAATTCCTCAACCAGGCATACTGGCTAGGGAATTGTGGGAGTTGAAGTCCATGCATCTTAAAATAGCCAAGTTTGGGAAACACTGAACTAACCTATCTAGATATCTCAATCTCTCCAACTCTCTCTCTCTCTCTCTCTCTCTCTCTCTCTCTCTCTCTCTCTCTCTTCTCTTTCTCTTTCTCTCTCTCTCTCTCTCTCATCTTTCCTCTTTGATCTTCTTTCTGAAGGCTAAACATGTTCACTTGCAATCTTAGTTTTTTTTAATTATTTATTACATTATTATTATTGTTATTGTTATTGTTATTGTTATTTTAGCCCACTAATGTTCCTCATTAACTTTCTTTCAATCCGTCCCCTTTTGTTTGCTCTGGATAGTCAGCTCTTGCTGACAGCTGAGTGAAATGTAAACCTTGTAGCTGATACTGAAAATGGAGACCAAAAAAACTGCCATGGAGCGGGGACTAAATATATCTTCAAATAAATACAGAATGTTGCTTTGGTTAGCCAATATTTGAAATTCCTCCGAAAATGAACAGCAAGATGGGAGAGTCCCAAGCATTAAAAAAAAAAAAAAAAAAAAAGATAAGCCAGAAGGGAGGGGAAAAAAGCCAAAAATTCAGTGTGGAAATGAATAATGGTAATAATTTAATACCGTACATTTATTTTTTTAGCTCTATTAATATATTCCATGGTTAGTGAATATATATTCCTCTCGCTTCACTTTTATTGCGGGTTTCTATGGAAACACAACACAACACAACACAAAACAAAACAAATAGAATGGCATAGAAACATGTGAGCCTAGTAAGTACTTTCTTAGCACTTGACCTAAAAGATGTTATTAAATAAAATAAAATAATGATATTATTATTATGCAAGAAAAAACATTGTGTTTTTCTGCAGAGCTGTCTCTGGATGAAGTGGATGTTTACCTGA